TGCTACTTATGTGCATTGATCATTTTAACCTAAGAAAAGTTTGTTTGCTTCTCACATTCCGTGAATAGTCAGGACATTGAAGGATATCTAAAATTTGTTTTCGACAATCTGTCGATCTGTATATCTACTCTTAAATGCTACTTGTCTGCATTGACCATTTGAACCTAAGAGAAGTTTGTTTCCTTCTCACATTCCGTGAATATTCAGGACATTGAAAAAATTTAAAACTCATTTTCAACAATATGTCGATTCTGTATGTCCACTCCTAAATGCTACTTATGTGCATTGATCATTTGAACCTAAAGTGCAATTTCCGGTGAAAAATTAATGACATTTAACCATATAACGATAGAACTGTATACGTAATATATTCATTGAAGATTTTGGAGATTTACGTACCTGCCCCTTGAGAATTCAGAAAAATGCACTTGAAATATTCGACGTAGACATGAATATCGAAGATGCTAATGTACTTGCCCCTGTTGTTCTTTTTTTGGTCTGGAATTTGAGATTTGAGAGAAAATGTGATTATATATAGTGTGTGGCATTGTTACACACAGACACACACGTGTATGTGTGTGAATGTGTGCAGGCAGTGTTGTTTGTGGGCATTGAACACAGTATATTTTAGTGAATTCTAAATCTTGAGTACAGCAAAACATTTTCTTCATATTAAAACATATTGTAGTAACCCTGCAGCATAGCATGGGTATCTACAGATGGAGTTTTGGAGTTTTATATGTTTCCCAGTGTGAGTGAATAAAGGAAAATGTCCCTCCTTTTCCACTCCAACCTCAAACTCCAGGACGTCATACGTGAGTCTGAAAAAGCAGCCATTGATGAATGATGATGGTACTTTGGAATCAATCAATTTTTTTTATTTTTTTTAAAAGAACTGGTATAGAATGATTTTGACTTACAAGTAACGAAGTTTTTTGTCACGAAACCTTTAGACGAGCAACTATACTTAAATGGGTATACAAAAGGCTCTAAGCTACTATTTTGACGTGCGATGAAATTGAAACCTAGACGACCCTCATAATGCGAGTTTAAAGGTAAATGAGTTTAAGAAAAGTTTTATCTAATAATTGCACTTTTTGGATATATTATTAGACTACATAACAAACGTTTATAATAATTTCTATTTGAAACAGTCGGAAACCATAGGGACTGGTTTGCAATGATCAGAAAGTTCAGGGATTGAATTGAACGAGAATTAAACTTCAGGGATTGGAATTCAGGAAAAGGTCAGGACAAGTGTGCGAAATGCCGAAAATTCTGATATGGAAATTTCTGAAAAGTCAGGAACTGCTTTGGGGTAAATTTGCAAACTACAAAACCTCGATGGGCCGTTTTGCAACATTTAGATAAGAACAACGATCCCTTTACAAAATTATTTTATGATCTAAACTCAATTTTGTTGTCTTTCAAATACAGGTTTTTCATAATATAAATCTATTATATTTAGCAGTTGATCTTATTAATTGTCTAATCTTGACCGTACTAATCATTAATTAACAGTTAACCTGTACATATATCCAAAAGAACCAAGCCTCTCAACTTTAAGATAATCCAGTTGTTTAAGCTACATGTGAAAAAATTGAATACAAATTCACGTTCAACTCACAATATTTGGTGTCAAATTTGAGATTCAAACTTTCGCTAGGCATACAAAAGGACCAACCAAGCAAGAACCTTTGATTTTAAGGATTGGACAGAAGGTACCCAGAATCTTTAACTTGATCAATTTGATCAATAATTTACTGGTCATTCATTAAAACATCTCCGTGTTCTTGACATCAGCCGAAAAAGCTTTTGGTTCGACAATTCAAACCGAGCCCTGTTACTACTTGATGCGCCTCCGGTTATTGTGCTCGTGTTTATGCCAGTCTCTCTAGCCAAATTTTCAATCTCTTCTCCACTTTCGATTATTCGATCAAAGCAAATGTACCTGCCGGATGCTGTCTTCTTCATCCCCTCAAATATGCATATGTGTGCCTCTGCTAATCTATTTATGTCGACAGTTGCTAGCAAGCCATCTGCATACATATCTTGAACACCTTTGAGATAAGCAACTGTAGATGTTGGGCTCCGGCGGTAGAAATCTGGCCCGGTGATAAGCCCGGGACAAATGGTCGCCAGCTTTACACCGCTTTCCTTGGCAACTTCCCACGCAGATTTTTCTGCCCTCAATTTGCCCAAAGCATACCAGAGCTGTAAATTTCAGAGAAAGTTGGATTAAACTACGTTACATCTCACCAATCTTGCTAACTTTCTTTTTTCATCGGATCATGTACTGGAGAAACTAGCTTGTTTTCGAAGGATTACCTTTCTGTTTAGGCAGACAGATTCATCGCTCCAGCAGCTATGGTCAATTAGGGACGGGAGTCCATCACGAGAATTATCTCGCCAAATGCAGGTCAACAGTGAGGATGTGAGTAAACAATGTCTAACAGAAGGTGTAATCCCACATGCCTTTACAACATTTTTACTTGCATTCACTTCGATCTCAGCCATAGCTTTCTGAAAAACATAAAACTTGCGTAATGGCTTCGTTCCTCAAAAAGAGAGATTAAAACTAATTGCAGTACAAATTAAAATGATAAGGATATTTTATTTGGTTAAGAGTGAAATCTGGAAACAAAAACTCTGAAGTTTATTAAGTTGGAAAACCGTAAACAGGTATAAAATAGTTCATTCACTTCACAAAATGGAAATTTACAGTCACTATATAACATTGACTATGCCTCACAGGCTCACACTCCAAAACTAGTTACATCATAAAATGAACAATTAGTGCTGCTATAGTATTATTTACATGTTGAAGAAGCCATATAGAAGAGTTGCATATTATCATAACGACGGGTAATACTATCTCGAATGACATCCGCTAAGTACCGTAACTTTCTTCTGTCCATCTTGTTATCTTTCATCTCATCTCTCGGGGTCAGTATCTGTTGGTGTAGAACCATTTCATCAAAAAATGCTTACACTACAAAGAGAAGGAGATATTTATTTGTTTATATTTTCACTTCAACAAGCAGCCTCATCAAATGCCTTACACAGCGAATTTTCAAACTCGAGACATTTGCTTGCTCCCTAGTATCATAATAACCATCTTACGTAAAAATTCAAATTTCTATTTTGTCTTAGACAGTTAGAAACCAATAGAACAAAATTTTGTCAACAACTCAACACNACTTTAAGATAATCCAGTTGTTTAAGCTACATGTGAAAAAATTGAATACAAATTCACGTTCAACTCACAATATTTGGTGTCAAATTTGAGATTCAAACTTTCGCTAGGCATACAAAAGGACCAACCAAGCAAGAACCTTTGATTTTAAGGATTGGACAGAAGGTACCCAGAATCTTTAACTTGATCAATTTGATCAATAATTTACTGGTCATTCATTAAAACATCTCCGTGTTCTTGACATCAGCCGAAAAAGCTTTTGGTTCGACAATTCAAACCGAGCCCTGTTACTACTTGATGCGCCTCCGGTTATTGTGCTCGTGTTTATGCCAGTCTCTCTAGCCAAATTTTCAATCTCTTCTCCACTTTCGATTATTCGATCAAAGCAAATGTACCTGCCGGATGCTGTCTTCTTCATCCCCTCAAATATGCATATGTGTGCCTCTGCTAATCTATTTATGTCGACAGTTGCTAGCAAGCCATCTGCATACATATCTTGAACACCTTTGAGATAAGCAACTGTAGATGTTGGGCTCCGGCGGTAGAAATCTGGCCCGGTGATAAGCCCGGGACAAATGGTCGCCAGCTTAACACCGCTTTCCTTGGCAACTTCCCACGCAGATTTTTCTGCCCTCAATTTGCCCAAAGCATACCAGAGCTGTAAATTTCAGAGAAAGTTGGATTAAACTACATTACATCTCACCAATCTTGCTAACTTTCTTTTTTCATCGGATCATGTACTGGAGAAACTAGCTTGTTTTCGAAGGATTACCTTTCTGTTTTGGCAGACAGATTCATCGCTCCAGCAGCTATGGTCAATTAGGGACGGGAGTCCATCACGAGAATTATCTCGCCAAATGCAGGTCAACAGTGAGGATGTGAGTAAACAATGTCTAACAGAAGGTGTAATCCCACATGCCTTTACAACATTTTTACTTGCATTCACTTCGATCTCAGCCATAGCTTTCTGAAAAACATAAAACTTGCGTAATGGCTTCGTTCCTCAAAAAGAGAGATTAAAACTAATTGCAGTACAAATTAAAATGATAAGGATATTTTATTTGGTTAAGAGTGAAATCTGGAAACAAAAACTCTGAAGTTTATTAAGTTGGAAAACCGTAAACAGGTATAAAATAGTTCATTCACTTCACAAAATGGAAATTTACAGTCACTATATAACATTGACTATGCCTCACAGGCTCACACTCCAAAACTAGTTACATCATAAAATGAACAATTAGTGCTGCTATAGTATTATTTACATGTTGAAGAAGCCATATAGAAGAGTTGCATATTATCATAACGACGGGTAATACTATCTCGAATGACATCCGCTAAGTACCGTAACTTTCTTCTGTCCATCTTGTTATCTTTCATCTCATCTCTCGGGGTCAGTATCTGTTGGTATAGAACCATTTCATCAAAAAATGCTTACACTACAAAGAGAAGGAGATATTTATTTGTTTATATTTTCACTTCAACAAGCAGCCTCATCAAATGCCTTACACAGCGAATTTTCAAACTCGAGACATTTGCTTGCTCCCTAGTATCATAATAACCATCTTACGTAAAAATTCAAATTTCTATTTTGTCTTAGACAGTTAGAAACCAATAGAACAAAATTTTGTCAACAACTCAACACAAATGCTCATCAAGTATTGCAAGAAGCAAATGATAAGAAAGGGAGAAAGTTCTAGTTGGTATATATTGTCATCAAATAGGCATATGCCACTGATTATTCAGGCTTTCAAATTATGACCATAAGCTCACTTGAATTCAATTCGATTAACAAAATCACATCATATGAGACCATTCACGTTATAGTTAAAGCAGCACTCCATCACAATTCAATAATTAGAAATGAGCATTTCATCCTATTCCATTAAACAGGGGGATGGCATCAAGAATGATTGGCCAGCTGTCGATGGAGAGAGAAAGAAATAATGAAAGGAACAAGCACTCACCGAATAGCCAGATATCCCAGCAGGGTCAATAAAGCCAGCAGTGTGAAAGACACCACGGCAACCATCAAACGCATTGGCCAAGCTTTCACTATCAGTCAGCTTAGCCATGACTATTTCAATAATACTATTGGTAAGTCTCATTTCACCAGATATTTCCATCTCCCTGAGCTTCTCTACATCTTCTGCATTTCCAATTCAACACTAATAATTCATTACATCACAATGGAGAGAAATCTCATAAAAGGGGAAAAAAAAATGTACCTCTGCATTACTGTAAATCCTAAAAAGTAAAATCCACAGTGATTTTTCAAAAAGGAAAATCTCAATGATTGTAATTCAGAAAACATGTAAAGCATACTAATGCAAAAGGAGATGTTGGACCAATCTCTGTCAGCAGAGATAAATTAAGCAAGTCGATGTGGCCAATAAACAGAAAAATTATTCAGTACTTAAATTAAATAAAACATTTTACATGAAATTGTGAAAATAAAGACACGTGTATAGATATAATTATTTAAGCATGAATCGCGCTCACAACTTGGGTACCACTGGCGTCAAAAACTAATAAAATAAGGCGGTCAGTTACAGAAGATAAAAATTGCAAAATAAATGGGTGATAGACCAAAATAACTCTTTCTAGAAGGTTACAAGAAAAAGAGTATTATTAGAACCCAAGCGTTAATTAAATCTAATAGAACTTCAAAACAAAAAAAATTAAATTAAGAAACTAATCGACTAAACAGAAAATTATTCTCTATTTTTTCCACAATTTGCAGGAAATGATGGCCAAAATAATCAATAGAATGAAGATAATTATCAAAATAGACGAAATTCAAGAAGAAATAGTAGCCGGAAAAAGTAATTCTCGAAGCATAAGTGAATTAATTCTAGAACCAGACCTTCATTGTCAACAATAATCCGCACAGAGTAGCCATGGACAAGGAGCTGGTTCACAACAGCGATACCGAGGTACGATACGCCGCTGGTGACACACACTAACTTCTCGAGTACGTCGCGGTTACCATCTCCGACAGGATCTCTGTCTCTTAAATCGTCACCGTCCTTTCTCCGGTGACCGGCGGCGCACGACAGCAGCATACGGCGGAACTCGTCGATCTCCTCATTCTCAGTCTCGTGCAATAGCAGAATCCCCATTGCAGCAACTTGAAGCAGTAGAGGAAGTTGGTTCTAGAAGGTTAAGTAGGAATCTTAATCGGGCATCATGCATAACACGCCTCGTATTTTATGCTTGTTGACGCCTGAAGATTGCTTGGCTTGGCATGGCTTGTAATAAGCTTGGAGGATAATTTGTGATTTTTTTCATTTTCAATTTTTTGGGTTGCTTGAGCTTTTTTTTTTTTTAATTCATTTTTTCAAAATTTATTTTCAATCAGATATTATCTAATAAAATAATATTATACGTAAAAAAAAAATTCTTAATTTTTAATCACATATTTTTCAAAAATACCATTCAAAAATGTATTTTTTCTCTCAAAATAAAATTCAAACAAGGACTTAAATCATTAAATTTACAAAATTTAGCCTTTGTTCGACTTCATTATTTGAGATTATAATTTTTAGAATAGTATTTTTTAAAAAATATATATATGACTAAAAAGGAGAAAAATTTTAATTTATGCGTAATAATATTTTATTAAAAAATGTGCGATTGATAAGAATATTATCGGCTTGGCTATCCTTGAGCCTTGGCTACAGAAAAGAGCTGGCTTGATTTGTCAACGGCTAACAGAGTCGCAAATTCAATGTGGACCACGTGTTGAAGGATAGGTGAGTTTCGGTGGCCCAGCTTATAAACAATGGGAAGTGGTAGGTGGAACCCGTCTCTAAATTTCTATCACCCACCGCTTATTCTACCGAATTCCTTGATCTGGCAATTTTGGACCGTTCATCAATTATGTTCAGTGTTGATTTTTATTAACGAATTATGTTATACCTACGATGTTTGTTGAAGATGTTGATTGGCAATTCTATTTCGCATTATTGTATTTATTTATTATAAAAAATTGTTATCTATATCACAAGTTTGAATTTTGATAACACAACTTTCAACAAATGTCGTCAACAATTATCGTACACTTCGCTTTATTAATACATATAACATAAGGAATGCTACTTGTACATTAGCATGTACATAATGTGAGTGGAGGTAGGACCTATGCTACAGTGTCGTGAGCTTCACCACACTCACATTATGTACACGATAATGTACAAGTAGATTAATCCCATATAACATACCCCAGATATTAAAATTCTGTCGATTAATCATTCTTTCAAAACTTTTCTTTTTTCATTCATTTGCAATAATGTATTCTCTCGATAAAATATTTTTAATGTAAACTCAAAATTTTTTCTCACTTTTTTAAGCACACGTTCTTCAAAAATTTACTATTCAAAAACTCATTTTTTTTTTTCAAAAATATTCCAGCAAACAGCGGCAAAGATATTTTGTGGGTCTACGAGAGCCACGTTACAAAGCAATGGCCACTATTTTATATTAATTTGTTGTCTACTTCGGTTTTTTTTCAGGTGGAAAGCCTGACGCTTATTAGAATTTTATATTAAAACGTTTATTAAAAATATTATTAGAGATAGGTGGAAGATAAAGATTACGTATTGTATTCTATATTATCTATTGTTCTCATTTAATAATTTTTTTTCCAATAAATCTGATTATTTTTGCAATAATTACTTTTAAACATAAGTAGCATTTGTTACCCCAGACAATGTTAGTGTGACTTTTTGCTGAAAAAATTGACCCGAATCGATTATAGATTCATCTCGAAATATTCATAGCTCCACACAACTGTCAACCAAGGCTCACCCAACCGTTCATTTCATTAAAAAAAAAAAAAAAATAGTTCTTTAAAAATGTTTACAAGGATAAATTATTTGGAGAATTGGAATTTCATACCTTTTATGAACCAGATTAATAATTTCCTGCATGTTGGTTCACAATGTTTTTATTTAATCAACAACATTTAAAACTATTTTATTCAAATGAAAGTGGCCTTTCCTGTCAGAAAAGTCGGGTTGTGCACCGTGGCCTGCCTTTCTTAAAGAATGCAATCAATTCGACAACAACAAAATAAGTAGCTTTTTACTACGTATAAAGAAATCAACTTGGTGTCCGGCTTTTAATAATTATAATTGTACGAGTTGATGTTGTTTTGTTTGATAGTGCTTGTAAACTGTAAAGTTTGAGAATCGTGTAAATAAAAAATAGCATTGAAGAGCAGCAACTCGTAAAATTGGCTTCACAATCACACGTCTGTTGCACAAAATTCTCAACCACACCCCTCCTATATCAATCAGGACAAATAATTTGAATATGCTAAGGAAGCTCTTTCTCGAGGGAGATGAGGAACGAGAAATACCACAATAGCTGGTCACACCATCTAGTATCTTTCATTTGAACTTCAATCATTCTCGTGTATTTTCGTCCTTCTTAAGCATCGATTCCAATTTCTTTTCCAACTGCAAACCATAGAAGATGATGTTTTCACATTACGTAACACATGTATACAATGCATGTTTGGCAAAGCTTAAATTATAATTAAATTGATCAAACACACTTCTATCCACACATTTTGTAAGCCCAATGCTTAAATTATAATTTAAGCACTCCCAAACAAGCATGCAATCAGCATAGAATAATAACTGTTCTGTAAAAAAAATGCATCAACAGCCATATTCCCTAGCAATACTTGATAAAGTTAGCATACAATGTTCGTGGAGCCACATGGCAATTGAAGAGTAATTTGAAATCCTTTTGGCTTGGTGGATTGGATCACACCAAACATTATTAAGGAAGATGGAAAAATAAGCCAAAATCTTGTTCATGTATAGCACTGCATACGAAACATGAGCTTTGTATATTTTCAAGGAAATTATCATAGAGGTATTGACCACGAACAGTCATGTGACTGAATGAAGCTAGAAAACCACCCAAGAATAAAAAGATTAGACACATACATGAGTGTTTTTGATCTTCTGTCTCTGTAATTCTTCAACAAGACTTCCGATGCTGAGATTTGGAAAACTGGGATTAGCTGACTAGAAAATAGTAACAACAACAATGCATCTTATAGGGTGTGTAGTTTAGCTTCATACCTTCGTTTCAATTGAATCAGCTGAGCCTCTAACTCTCTCTCCTTAGGAATCTGTAAAATGTTACGAGCAGAACGTTATAGAGAGGCTGTTAATTTTTCTTCTCAAAAAGCACAAAATAAAGCTTGGACCAAAAGAAGAAAACGATCACGTTTTAATTTATAAAAGAAACAGGAAAGCATAACAAGGAGTTTTTGTCAGGATATTGTCGCCACTTGAACAACTTCAATCAGAAAAAAAAAAAAACATACCTGCGAAAGGTCATTTACTTGTACCTCAGAGAACTCATTAGAATTGCCTGCACCCAGGAAAAATAGTCCACGATGAGATGTAGAAAGGCAAAATATTGCTCACCACTTTCACACCCAAAAAGAGAGAAGGGGGTTGAGAAGCAGGAAACATGCGAAGATGAAAATGGAGAAACGTGTGAAGGGGAATGGAAGATTTGCTAAAGAAAAAAGAAATATTCTATGCTCATTTAATAGTATAGGAAAATGCGAGTAGTACATTAGGTACTTCCAAAAAATTTCTATATTCAAGGCATACATTTCCACGTATATATGAATAAGCAAGATGCTTTTCCTCCGCATATATTAGCAAATCTTCCATTTCCCATCCCATGAAAAAAGTAGTATGAACTTTAACCAATCAAACGTGCAAAAAGCACTGAATATGATTTGTTTCTGAGATCAAGGATAAATGACATTACCAGAGGTTTGCTCCACAAACTTGATCAATTTAATTATATCTTCCTGATAAGAACAGAGTGCAAATTAGCAACTTGATAGTAGGACAGCTGTAGTCAAGTTGAGCAACACTTACTCTTTGCATAGAGTTCTGCTGCAGGATACATTGCAATGACGGAAGAACTGAAACAGCTGCAAGGCTTGGGTTCATCAAGCTCGTGGAACCTCCAGTATTTGGATTAAAGAAACAGTTCGTAGAACCCTGAATACGAGAAAGAAAAGGCAATGGTTACAAAGCCATTGCCTAAAAAACAAGCTAAGTTTCGCACTAACTTTTATGTGAAGACAAGCAAGGCAAGGGAAAAATATCGAGATGAGGAAAAGATATTTCGGGATCAAAATTGAGAAACCACGACTTCCATTGTACTCATCTTGATTCTTTAGTAAGTAAACATTGAAGCAAGAGATATTTTGAGGACTTTATTATATTTAATGAACAATATGCACAAAGAAATATAAAGGAAATAGTGTTACAGATGTATCTTCTAAAAAAAGAAGAGAGACGAGAATAAAGGAATTAAACTAGAAGTGAAAGATCAGGAATCAATGAACCAAGGCAATTTTGAGTAACTTCATTGATGAGACTAAAATCATACCTTGGGGCTCAGATCTGCTGAAGTGACTTTAAAACGTCCCCTGCGTTGGACTATAGCACCTTCAGATACGTCTTCCCCTAAAATGCACACGACAAAACATTTAGGAAACAAAGGAAATAAACGTAGTATTGTTACAATGAAAACAAAAATAGAGTTCAGACCCATGAAGATGAGTAAATAATTTGGTAATTTAAAGTCCATAAAAGCATTACCAGCTGTAGAATTACTGAAATCTTTCTTTTGACGAAACTGTAATGGACCACTGTAATTCCGCTCACTAGGGTATCTTTGTCGCAGATGTTCCCTTCATATTAATCAAAACTATATCACTACATTTCTAACAAAGATTTTTCAGAAAATCATCGAACAAGCAGCCAAAACTAACTTGGGAAATATATTACAAAAAAAAAAAAAACAAATAATATTGGTCAATATCTTATTGGAACCGGCCAAAAAACACTTCATTCTACTCAATAAACACCACACTTGAGAACATTATGAGACATTTTATTCTTGCATCAAAATCACCTGTAGTCAATGGACTTGATTCCCACCTGCTGTGACATGGACCAAGGAGCCAATGCATAATCCTCTCTATTTAGTGATAAATGTCAATTCCTCTACCATCAACATGTCACATACACACAGGAGGGGAGGGGAAGGGAAAGGAGCAGTTATTCAGGTGGACATTGTTCCATTTGGTTCTGGTTCCAAGAGAACCTAACTGAACCATAAACCAATGATTTTTTTGATAATGAAATTAAATGTTTTTTTTTAAGATATGGAACCAAACCATTTGGTTCTGGTTTGGTTCTAGTTTAATTCTTTAAATTTTCATACTTTCATCGTATCCATAAATAAACATCAAATATTCAACAAATCCGTATTATTAATCATCAAGATCACAAAAGTCCAAACTAACAAACAAAATATAGTCATATTTTGAAATTTTGAATGCACAAATCAATTTCTATTTTCATACAAAAGATTGTGTGACAAGTAATAGCAATGATTCACTAAATTAATTACAATAGTTTTGATGGCACACCTCGACAATAAATGATGAATTGTGCAAAACTTTTGCGGTCCAGTTTTATAGGCAACCATTAACCATTTAATACTCCATAAACGTTTATTGGATTTTCCTCTATTTATGAAGAATACAAATAATTCATCAAACAATCAAAGCCAAAAAATAATTTAAAGGATTTTTAAGTGACTGACCAATTCCATTTTTTGATATTGAAAGAGTCTTCCACTGAAGTGATGAAATACAGTGTCGACGCGTCACGACGTTGTGTAAATTGAGGAGTAAAAGAGAAATGATTCAAATGAATACAAAATTAGAGTGTAAACAATTAATGGGCCGTCTCCAATTACCTATAATCGATTAATGGGTTGCCTCCAATCAATGGGTGACACAAATGAATACAAAATCAGGCCCTTCACTAATTAATATATATATATATATATATTAAAAATTAAGTTTGGTGCTCTTTAATTTGATTTTGCAGTTGCCCCATTTCGGCAGCAATTGCAGAAAGCCTGTTTGCAGCATCCATATCCATATGTGCGTCTCTTTGCTGACTACCTCTATAAAAGCTTTCACACCTACATTTGAAAGGGAATTTGATGCAGCGGAAGATTATAGGAAAGATAAAAATAAAAAGAATTTCAACAAAGGGAAATTCAAGAAAACTTTATTTCATTCAAAAACTGAGTTGTCTCAAAGGGCTTACAACGTTTAAATAGTGAAAAACCTAAGAAAATTCGAAAAAATTATATAATAATGAGAAAATATTATTTTTTCCAAAAATGAAAAAAATTGAGATAATGACGGATCTTGATTCTCCTAATCACCAGGATTATCCTCCAACAAACGAAAATCAAATCCGAATTTATTTGACTAAAATATTGCCAAAAACAGTGGCAGGGATTTTCAAAAACAGTGGAATAAGAATCGAGATCGGAGACCTCACGATTCTCCAAATCGCGGGTAGTCAGGCGCTGAGTTAACTCTGCAAATTGCCTCTGAATATTACGATCATCGTGTTGGACTTCCTCAATCGGAACCTGCCCACGATGACCACGACCACGACCTCCCGGAGCATGTTGCTGCGGCATAAGTGCAACAACTTGCTATGTCAACAACTCTACTTGTTGACGCAGCTGTGTGATTTTATCACGTCTATGTACCTCCTCTACTAGGGCTTCACAAGTTTCTTGATGTCTCCTTAACGGCATGGTGAAGGAACAACTTCGGCTTTGATACCAACTGATGCAGCGGAAGATTATAGGAAAGAAAAAAATCCACACAAAAATAATTTCAACGAAGAGAAATTCAAGAAAACTTTATTTCATTCAAAAACTAAGTTGCCTCAAAGGGTTTACAACGTTTAAATAGTGAAAAACCTAAGAAAATTCGGAAAAATTACATAATAATGAGAAAATATTATTTTTTCCAAAAATGGAAAAAATTGAGATGATGACGGATCTTGATTCTCCTAATCACTAGGATCGTCCTCCAACAAACGAAAATCAAATCCGAGTTTATTCGACTAAGATATTGACAAAACAAAAATTACCATAAACGGCAAAAACGCTTAATTGAAAGCCTAAACGATGGAATCTGCCCAAAATTCGATATGCTTCAGGGCCAAAGGCCTTGAGTTGTGATCATTGACCCGTTTTCAATCTAATTGGACTAGCAATTCACCAAAAACGGACAAACCTGAAATTAAATTGAATTATTATTTTGCCTTCATCAGAATTGATCACTTTAATTTGTGATTCGGGCCCCACGAGTGCGAAAGACGGCTATTCCTCAGGGCTCTCAGCCACATGGATAGTTCAATGTGTTTGGTGGTCGTAGATTAGCTGCTAGCAGAGGCACTCATAGTGCTAGTTCAAGAGCTTGTTTGGTTCTCGGTTCTAGAACTAGAACCAAGCCAGAACGAAATGGTTCTCGGTTCGAAGAATAAAAACCATTAATTTTTTTTTTTTTGTAGAACCGAATTGAATCACTCAGTTTGGTTCGGTTTTGGTTTGATTCGGTGCGGACATTTTATCCATCCCTACAATACAACGAGTGTCTGATCTAGAAGCAAGAAAAAAATTCAAATGATGTATCTATTCAATTGATTACTTTGGCCACACTACTGAATTGGATAAGCAGAACGGGCAACGATTCTAGGTTCTAATTTGCTTCCGATTTTCTTAAACCAAAAAGGTAAATAGATCCAACACGTGCACAAACACCATATCCAAATCCCACAAAAACAGGACCTCATTTTTATTCTTACTCTTTCTCGATAATGTGCATTTCACAACTAGCCATCTCATATAAACTAAGAAACTTGTTTTAGTTACCTCCTAGTATTACATTTATAGGTCAAATTCATATTAAGCCCATGTTTGATAGCGATTAAAATCTAAATTTTAATCTAAATCAAAGTCAATGTCAATAATTAATTTTAACCACATATTTCATAGGAACAACTTTTTAACCCCACATTTCATTGACTTTTATATAAATCGACGAAATCTAATTTTAATCTCCACCAAATAGGGGTTAAGTGTAATGAAATGCAATACCAAATAATGAAAGATGTTCCAAAAAGGTAGGTTGACAACATCCAATTGGCTTCCGATTTTATTAAACCAAAACGTTTAAAAAAATCCATCATTTAGACATGCACCATATCCATGACACAAAAAACAGGGTTCATATTTATTACTCTTATTGGATAATGTAAACTTCACTATTCTAAGATCTTGTAACGGACAGCTTGCCATCTCAAAAATTTCAAAACCTAAGAAATTTGTTTGTCCCTCCTAGTACTACGTGCATAGGTCAAATTCATGTCAAGGATTAAAAGACAAAAATAGACATTGACGGTGAGAATTGTGTTTCTAATTAAATCTTGGACGTAGCACAGTGTCACGGACCGCATGGTAGTGACACGAGATTGGGCATGACACGGGAATGTCATGGCATCAAGTGGGAAAATGAGTTAGACCTATGGTTGATTAGGTCTAAGCTTCAACCATACACGGCGATACCGGTGTCACCTAATTTTGTGGAGAGATGACCGGTGTCCATGGTGTCGG